AAGGCTCCATGGGAATTACACTGCCAATGCAAGACAGTAGTCGAAAACTGGAACATATCCTTGCCTAGAGAGACAAAGCAGGAAGTAGTTGCAGGTCGCAAGCCACCAACTCGACATAGTTGGACTCTCGTCAACGAAGCGCAAACATTCTAAAATTTTGAACCATGGAGCGTGAAAGCCATTCCACTGAGGTCGACATCACGACGCGCACTCAGGCCGATGTTAGCCAATAGAACCCACACTGGCTGATATAATTACTGAGTGCAAGCTGTGAGCAGAAGGGTAGCAATCCTTCAACTGAAGCAACCACAAGCTAAAGCATTCCCCTTCCTACAAGCGTATACGCCCAAGTTAGAGAGAGAATATGAGTCTTCCTTGAGGAAAGGAAGCGTGCCCTTACAAAACGCCGACTATGGAGTGCGTTACTTCATTGAGCGAATTAAATGCGCATGTCGGAACAAACACTGAAAAGTGGAAAAACTTCACTAAAAACTACAGCCCTGACGATTTCAACAACGGAACGGAGTTAATGCGGCATTCTGCAAACAACGGTTTCTATTACAAACAGCATATTCGAGCATCGAAACGTGCATCAATATAACTGGTTCAGAGAACCTTGTGCACAGAAATCGATGAAGGATTTGCTAATCGTACTGTCCGACCCAAGACGATTAGTAACGGATGCTCGCGTTAAGAGTCGCAAAGCTGCCAACCGATCATCACCTTGTCGGTGGCGCGTTACGCTGTAAGAAATGGAGTACCATACGAATCAACCAGAGAGTGAAATGGAAAATACTATGCTCGGTGGACACAACAGTGAAATTTGCAAACAGCATCGCATGACGGTTTGAACAGATCCCGCTGATGTCCGCCGATGTGGAAACCGAATGGCAACTCTCCAAAAGCGGAATACTCGAAGCTGCCGCGAATGCTGCGGATTCAAACGGGTTGGCTTGCTGTCTGGAGGTCAGAAAAGATCTTCAATGTGGACGAAAGAGGTACAGCTGGCAAGAAGAAAGCAGCGTTCATGAAATGGCTTGGAAACAAAGAGCCTTCTATTCGCGTGCGACATGTCAAGGCACGCAAGGCGGCAGCGAAAGCAGCGGCAAAATCCAAAGCTGATTCCTGGGAGAAATTTGGTGAGGTGTTGGAATCGAATTTCCACAAGGCAAACAAGGTACTCTGGCAGACCATCCGCCGGCTCCGAGGTGAAAAGAAGGGCAGCCGAAATGTCTTGAAGGACAGGTCTGGATACCCTCTTACCAAAGAAGATGACATGTTGGAGGAAGCACTTTGAGGAATTCCTTAACTCCGCGCAAACGCAGAAAGACTAGCCTGTAGAGCAGCAGGGAACGGATATTACTGTCTCCGTAGATGAAATTACACAAGAAATGAAAAAGTTTGAAAATGGAAATGCTGCAGGAACTGATCAAATCCGCCCTGAAATGCTCAAGGCATTTGGCGAACAAGGCATGTGCTGGCTGACACGTGCCTGTCAAACTGCGACGACTACGGGGAAGACACCAATGCAAAGAAAACGAGTTATACTACCTCTGTTCAAGAAGGGAGACCACAAGGAATGCTCCAATCATAACGGAATTACGTTAATGAGCCTCAGAGGTAAAGTTTACGCAAAGGTACTAGAAAGGAGGTGCCGCAGAATAACTGAATCCAACAAGAAGAGCAGTGTGGCTTTCGGCCTGGCCCAAGTACCTCTGATCATGTATTTGCCCTGCGCCAGATTGCTGAGAAATCGCGGGAGTACGCCCGTCCATTGTGCATGTTTTGTTGGCCTAGAAAAAGTATATGACTGGGTCCCGCGAAACAGTCCGCGATCATGCCTTCGAGCATACGAGTCGGATGGCCAGCTGCTAAGGGCCATTCAATCACTGTATTCTGAGAGCAGGTGTTGCGTCAGAGTAAATGACGTTAAGTCGAAATGCTTCAACGTTCGCACTGGTTTCCACCAAGGCTGCGTCCTGTCCCCTATCCCGTTTGTGTTGT